AAAAAAAGTAAATAATTATAAAACGCATTGAAAATTGCAAAAACATTTTAAACATTGTAAAAGCGCATACACATACATAAAAAAATTGTTAAGTGAGTGAAAAAAATAATAATAATTGCAATTATAATAACAAAAACGAGCAAGAGAAGTTATATTATAAATGTAAAATCAGTAAAGAATAAAAAACGAAAGTAATATTAGAACGAACACTTTCTTTTGGTTGCTTGGTACAAGATTATTTATTTTCAATGTAAAGTTTTTTTTTTCATTTTTGTAAATAAAGTGATATTGGCGATTTTGGAGCTTTTCAAAACGAATGGCATGTATGATTTGTACGTTTGTATGTATACATGAGCATGTATTTACAGTTATATTTGGCAATGAGTACTTTATTTTTTGTTTTTGTTTTTTTGGTTTGTAAAACTGGAATACTTATAAAGAAGAGCAACGCAGTCCTAAATGTGTATGTATGTATATAGACGTACATATGTCAGTATGTCAATATCTAAAATGTATGTGTATGAACCAGGAGAAATTGTCTTTTATCTCCGAAACGCACTCGGTCACTGTATGTCAGTTATACATATACATATGTATATGTATGTATGTACGTCAGTAGGTCATGCATGCATGTTAGTGTAACGGTATGTACCTGAGTTAGTAAAGATGTGTGTCATTAAGTCATCCATGTTTGCATGTACATACGTACATATATCAGTGTATATGCAGTTCAGCATGTGAGTATGTCTGTCTACCAATAGTTCTTTCGGTACTTTCGCTTGCACGCATACTCATAGAGTATCCGCATTTCGTCTTGTGCCCGAAAATAACGAAATTGTTCTGGATTCATATGCACATATTGACATAACTGTTGTACATTACTCTGTCTTGGCGGTTTGATGCACTTATTTTTCACACAGCTACCAATACAGTCAAACCAGTGACAATCGGTGTCGTACCAACAAGATTTGCCGCTAGCCAACTCCTTAAGCAGTTGACTCTCCAGCATCAAGTAGCGCGCGTTTCGAGCTTTGACTCTAACGGTAAACAAAAATATATTTTATATATTTTTTTATATATACATACATATGTAGATACTAAGGTATTATTCATCTTGTCTCTATTTGAGAGCGTTTAGTTACCTATTGTCCGCCGATAAGCTAAAATAATCCAAACGCACTTTGCAGATTTTCACCGGATCCGGGTTGAGCATGTCCAAACGCAATACATATTCGTATATGGTTTGAAAGTTCAGATGTTTATGTGTAAAACCACTGCAAACAAAAAAAATTCGACTATAAAATATTTGCATAAGAAATAGAAAGAGGTTCAAGAGTTATTTCACAATTAAATACAATAACTTTTGGCTATTGGAGCTCCTCAGTCCTTTTTATTATTTTAGAGCTGTCAGTTTAAATTTTCCCTATTTTTTCTATAACCCACTCTATAAGTCAATTAATCCCTCAGTAGGTTTTTTCGTGATGTCGTGATCACTTATCACTATCTAAGAAAAATTCTATGGGCTCTTGAAAAGTGCCAAGAAGTTCCGACTTTTTCGAGCTAAATTTTGTTCAGAGATTGGACCCATTTCTGGCTTATTGGTATGGAAACAAACAAAATTGCGCATTTTTGACGAAGAACAAGCTGAAAACATTCAAGAGCTATCACTTCATCCATATTTCATTAAAAATGATAACCGACTATTTGATGCCTGAAATTGATGCTCGTGATTTCGGCGACATTTCGTTTCAACGAGAGCTGTCATTTCCGACACTTCGGATTTATTGAGAGAACACTTCGGTGTGTAATAGCACACCGTTAGACTTTTTCCGGTGCAGGTATGTAAAGTTTAAAGCCTAGGCGGACAATCTCGCTCCGATCTAGGCCTTGGAGCAAAATATCACAAGTGTCATTCGCCAGATAAGAGTCGAAATTCTCGAGCGAGTCGTCAAAAATGGGAAGCAACGGATGGACCATCTGACACGTAACCGCGGCCAACATTTAAAAGAGATAATCTGCAAAAAATATGTAAATGCCAACGAATGTTCTTTCAAATGATAATTAACGTTTCCATTAAGTTTGAAATTTCTGTGTGTTTTTTTTTTTTCTTTCAAAAAGTAGGGAACCTCGAAATGGTTCACTCTTTATAAACACTCTGATCCGAAAAAAGTAGAATCTCTATTAAGGCCTTGACCAGAATCTGCTGCCACTAAGACTACTGAGCTTTTTTTTATGACTAAAGAATGAGCTCATGCTCATATTTGCGTTGCGGATACGGGGTAAAAACTGCTTAAGCCAAAACTGAACAATAAGAGAGTTCGAACGGTCACTTCTCTGTTTTTTGGGTGGAATCTGAAAATTTGTGTCTAAATTTTGTCCGAAAAGGGGTAGCAACACTGATAGAATGGGCGAGACCTTTAAAAACCTTAATATATAGATAAAGATATGTATCCGAGACCGACAAAATGGTAAGTGCTACTGAGCATAACCCCAAAATTGTTGACTCTCGTTAAAACAGAGTTAATTCTTTGGTTATCATCTCGAATTACATTTTTCGATGTGCGTGAAAGATGTCTGGTCAAAATTAAAATCTTCGAACGTTACTATTTAAATAAATAAAATTATATGGCATTTAGTTACTCGCATTTACTCACTTTCTTATCTCAAATGGAGTATGTAAATGCTCCGTTACAAACATGCTTCCGCAAGTGCCCAGCATTGTTGGCAGTATTGCTTCATCTTCGAATAGCTTAGTCATCACAAAGTCATTGTCATTGAAAAGGTTCCAGAAATCTTTTATTTGTGTCGGTTCATTTTCATCCACTTCGTTGTTGATTAAGCGTTTCAGCTGTTAGCAAAGAAATTGGAGGAAATATTTTTTTCAAAATATACATGGGAAATATTTTGTATAATGATGGACATTTGGTCCTCAATGGGAGTTCCTATATGCATATACTATAAAATTTTATCTTCTGAGTTCAAAAGGTTTTACAAAAGCTTAACAATGTAGGAGAAGTGCTTGGATATTTCCGCCTCACCATTCTCCATACAACTTTGTCAACTAGCGTCCGTCAAGATTTTTGGCTTTACTATGCTTAAAGCAAATAGTTCAGTCGATCTCTTGTGTTCCAATCTAGGCCGTAAGCACCTCGGAGTCGTACTACTGCTTGTAAAACACTACAGTGTTCCGGTATGTATACAAAGCTAAGATTGAGGGAGAGTTTCCTACAGAAAACGCCCCCTACAAACTTCGACCCATCTGTGAAAAAGCTCTATGCGTCTCTCCTCTAGCGACTTCTCTCCACTCACATCTCTCTCGTTGGCATGTGAGGAGAGAAACAACCGTCCCGAGTGATCTCTGCAACACAGTGATACAAGTTTTCATGAATGCAAATGTGTCCTTGTTCGGACCTTTCATATATCCAGCTTCCCCCGAGAATTAGAGCACACTTCGTAGCAATACACCGGCAGTGTCTACGGGTGCTATATTTAAAATGGCATTAAGTGCTATTATTTTTGTAGTGCGTAGTGTACCGAAAATGCCAATGAGAGGCGAACTTTGGACTTTTTTTGGCTTCTTAGTAAGTGTAGACTTTTCGAGCGCTTAACACCATACAAATACACCATACAACATAATTGGTTTGACTACGATTTCGTAAAGCAGTGAGAGTCCTCCATTTTCAATATAACTCAACAACCGACAGATGAATACGGCTAAATCAACAGTACTCATAATATACATACATACATATATTCTACAGAGCATCCTATGCTTCTTTGGTGGCGTTACCGACATCGTGGCGAACTTAAAAAATCCTGTTCAAGTTATATTCTGCTGAATATTTTCCTGATTCTTTGATAAAAGTGGATTTGATCAGGCTTACGGACACAAATTTAAGCACTTCGCAGTCATCGAAGTACCATCAGAATAGCAGTTATTTATTCCTACCTACTAACAATTAAAAAAATATTCTTCAAACTCACCACATTATCTTCCAGCGTCACATTATAATTGAGCAATAGATGCATTTTGACCATGTGATACAAGTCCGCAGATTTTGGATAAACATCAACGCCGTTCTTATCGCGCCATGTCAGATCGTCAAGCGATTCCGCCACCAACTAAAGGTCAAAAGTGAAATCGGTTAGTTTCGTCTTACTTTACGCACTGTACCATATTTCATTCGTTGCTTTACTTGGAAATCGTAAACATTTCCATTTCTTTGAGCGGTAAATGCGTATGGAATTCCGCGAATGCAGTGGAAGTCGCTAAAGACCGACGGCTTGATGCAGAACTCTTCGCACAAGGCGCCGCTGGTATGATTTTGACTGTAAGACTCGCACTGCAAGAAAGCTCCATTATAATATTCTTTCCGATATGAAATGATATGCATTCAGTGATTTTTCTACGATTTTACTTACGATGGTGGGTATTACACTATGTGCTACGTAACTGCCGCAAAATAGTGTGAAAACGCCGATCCCAATGGGTATGAGAAGAAGAAACAATAAAACACAATGGTACAAATTGCGTAGTGCACGCGTCATTCGCATGCATGGGTACATTATTTTGGGAAGCGCCTTTTAGTTGCACAGTATTGCTGAAAAGTTGTCACTAACTATAATACTAAATTTTATGTTTCCATTTGCATTCGCTTTGTGAATAACAAATTTTCTTTTTACCGCCGCTTTAAAGTTGTCACTCGTATGTTCTTGTATCTTGGAAGCGCCGAAAAATTGCACTAACGGCAAATTGCTGCTGTATCTAGATAGTTTCGTTGCGAACAGGGAAGCAAAGGCGCTGATAGGGGTGGATTTGGTATATTCTGACAGTTGAGGGACATGCGCAGTCGTGCCAATTCGCATTATGCTTTTGTTTTTTTGAAAGTATATGTATGTCCGTTGCAAGTCGGCACATACATACATATATTCTTAATAATAAAGACATCCCTCATTTGCTTTAGGCTGTGAAATATTTCGAACCACATGAATTACTTTTTTGTTTGAAACATTACGAAGGTAGTCTTATAAAACAATATTTCCAAAGAGAAACAAATATTAATGTGATAGCTGTTATAAGTTATATATTATATAAAAGTTCCATTAATTTTTGGGTGACCTCCTTAATGAGTTTCTCAAAAATTCGTTTTATACTTAACCCTGCGTTAGTCCGAGTTTTTTAACCAATTTATCTGTATAACATATTTCTGGAGGTGATAACCTTTTTTCTCTACTTTTATACCTGCGAGGGAGGATTGGTAGCGGAGAACTCACTGGAGGAGAGGGGTATTGAGCTTTTTGGATCAAATCATGCGGGAGAGTTAGTGGAGGAGTACCTACACCATCCAACAGCTTCAGTTCTAGGCTTCTTGAACACTGCAGTGTCTTTCAAGCCGAAGTGGCTGTTTTAAAGGTAGTAGTAATCTACTGATCCGGAAGCGTAATCTACAGCCTGATTCCCATTGTGATCAGTCCCCCAAACCTCCAGCCCGCTCCAATTCGCGTCGATAACCTGGTTCCTCGAACAGTATGTTCCATGTTTCAGATCGCTATACGTCGGAACGTTACATCAATAAAATGCAATTCCTGCACTAGCTGATATGACTTACTGACGTGTTCCGGCCTGCCCACCATCATTCTCAACATATGTATGTATAGTATATCACCCTTTATGGCTTTAGGGGCTCTAATTGAACACTGACCGATCGGGATTCATGCGATGATGGTAAATACATAGTTTACAGAATAACAGCTGCATCAGCTGTTTGGAAGAAGATGAGATAGATTCGCCTTAATACATCTTCCTCGAATGACATTTGCCACATCAAGACAAATACACCTTGGATCTCATTCGCCATGCTAAAGGTTCGGACTTTTAATCTAACCTGACAAATTTCGGTTTCAAAGAAAATCTGTCATAAATCGATCAATTTAGTATTGATGTTGATTGAGGTGTTTCTTTGACAAATGAGACGATTTTTTCTGTAATTCTTCGTTGGAGTTGTCTAATAAATAATTCTGCATATTAAAGAAATTCCAGTAAGCTTTTAGCTCTTCTTCAGGCAAATGATGCGGACCACACTTTGTGAATCCCAAAAACGGTGGTCATAACAATTTCGTTCGATAAGTTTGTGGAACAGGTTCACATGGCGAAATCCCTGGTTTTGACTTTAACTTCTTATCCTTTGATGTGGTCTAGTCAATCTCGTACTTTCCGTTTTTGTTTAAAACAGCGCCAAACACTGATATACTATACATAGTAATCCACGTAGTCTTTTGTGATGCCTGTGTCAGCTTACTCGCGCAATTTTATAGTTTGCCGCTTACCGCTATTTTGTGGTACTGTTTCACCCATCCATTCCCCCATCTGCAATATCAACCTTTTCATAGTGCCAGCCAATTATCATGTGTATGTAGCAAGTTTAATCGAGATTTCTCACTTTTTACGCAATCTATTGCTTGCATGGCCATCTGGCATTCGGAATTCAGCACGCCTCATCATTTTGATCATTTACATATATTTCCCACTATAACACTTACTGGCTGTATATACCACATTCATATGTATTTGATTGTGGGGAATATAATTACTCCATTAGTTAATTTTTAGCGTTTTTAAAATTTTCACTTTATTTTCCGACACTCTGTTTCGAAACACGTACTTGAGTGGAACGACCAAAACGCGAAATGAAGCGAGCACTCAAAATATTATTTTTAATGAGTTGCGCATATTTAATCGTGGTAAGTATGTATATATATGTACATACATATATGTTAGAATTTCACTAAATACGTGTATCCATGTTACTTGCCTCTAAGGTCTGTGCGAAACCGAAGGTGTTAATTAAGTTTACGAACGCGCACTGCGAGTCCTTCAATAAATCCTGGGCTGTGATAAATGAATGCCGATTGCATGCTCTAAGGCGCGACGTTGCGTCTCTGAATATAAACATCACATTTCGGCATCCTGCTAACGATATAAAGGTACGGTTCTAAATATATAGTATAAGAGTAATCATCTGTTTTTGCCCACATAAGTGTTAAACTTTTGACAAACTTTTCGCTAGTTGTACTTGGTTTTCTTGAAGAAAGCCAATGGTTATAAACCGTTTGTACTGAATTCGACTGTCGATGCTTGCGAGTATATTATCAAGAAGAATAACCCTATAGTCAATTTAGTGTATACGATCTTTAAATCCTTCAGCAACATAAACCACACGTGTCCATATGTGGTGAGTTACACCAATTCACGCTTAATTATCGTATTACTTGATGTTGTTGTAAATTCGAGTTTCATTTACAGGGTGATCAACTGTTGTTGAACTTTTATCCGAAGAATGAGCTCATTACATTATTTCTACCGAACGGTGATTATGTTTTGCTTATGGACTGGATCTTGAGCAAGAAGAAAACGTTCACTACCAATGTATATTTCTCATTTTACGGATGAAATATTGAAAGTTTGGAATCATTTCTGATTTATCTAAACATAATTTTATTATATTAAGGCTGCTCCAATAAGAGTACAATAAGGAAAATATAAAAATAACATGCGTACATCATATATTTAAGATCATTTGTGAACAGGGTCCATTTGCAGCAGTTAAATTTTAAGCCACGGTAAAGCAATCCGATCCTAATAATAGCAGGCATATAACTCCAAACAAGTGGAGTGTTATATACGGACCAGTTAATGAGCAACTCTACTTGAGAGCAGTCTACACTCTTTTATCAACAGGAAGGTATTAAGTGGACTTAACGGCATACTATACTACAGAACTTGTTGCTTTCAACTCTACAGGAATTGGTTTCGAACAAAGGCAGTTTTATAATACCACACTTCATATGATTGTTTAGTCTGCAAATTTTCAGAGAAAAAGTTAAAGGTTAATTTTTTACGCAGCGAAATATTTTTACCTGGATTCCACACTGACAACCATCTGCCTTGGTAATTTTGGTGATATTAGTTGGTTTAATTAGAGATCCTGTAATCCACAGTAATCTACTCCCTGTGTAATATTATTTTTTGTTGATCAAAAGGAAACTTTTCAACAATAATTTAGTAACTTATTTACGAGGAAATTTAAAAAGTATTAGGAAACAACTCTCAATCCGTCATCAAAGTTTTTCATCTAGGTTGAACAATATGGCATCGAAGAACAATATCGGCCGAGCTATTGAAATGCGGTGGGGAGAACTGATAAGGATAATGCATTACCGTATTATAAATTATAAATGAGGAATAAGCTTCCTCAGCATCGCACATAAGGTTCTTTCGAGCGCAATGTGTGAAATATTGAATTTTAACCAGATATTCACGCTTCAAATCTTGAAAGATACTGGTTAAAAGGAGATCGACAGTGATGTGTGTCTTCGAAACTGTTTTTGTAAAACTGCCCGTAAAACAAATACGACTGTGTAAACTAACGTTGAGCAATACCAGAAGCTCCGTCAGGATCGGGACCTCACCGAGCCGTTCGATAGCAAATGAGGTTTCAGACATCATTCTAGTCCTGAAGAAAATGATTCGAGCTGCAGATCTGAATAGTCCTCACTCGAGGAACAATTACCAAACTCTACAAGTCGGTCATCATCCCTGTCCTGCTGCTGATGAATCGGTAGAAAGGTTCTGCGGAAGATTTATAGTCCTTTTCGCAACGGCAGCGGCGGATAGCGTAGTCGATGGAACGATGAGCTGTACGAGATATACGATGACATAGTTCATCTAAATAACAGACAGCGGCTATGCTGGCTAGTTCTGTCGCCGGAATGGATGAAAGCACACCAGGTTTGAGAGTACGCCAATTAAGAAGAAGAAGAAGAATTTCTCTTGGAGGATCTTGCTTATAGATTACAATTATCAGTGCTGCCGATGTGACCTTAGTTGTATAGTAATTTAATTAGCCAACAACCGATATAGTTTACGATTAAAAATACTCGGCATGCGATTTCAGACAAACTTTTTTAAACGATTTTTCAAAATTTATGTAAATTTAAGTGATGATACCTCAATGAAAAACCACTTCATAATTGACCAAATTCCGGTCAATATCTATAAGAGTGGAGTGATTTGACTGTTTTTTGTCATTTAAAAGATCTCATAAAATATATTGGCTGCTTCGAAGTTGTATGAAAATTTGTAGATATCTTCTTATTCTTCTTATCTATCTATTAGATATCTAGAAGCTCATATAAAAATATCGTGATCCAATTACATATACTTTTTTCAATAGCCTTCTTTGACAGCTCACGCCTAAGTCGTTTGTTCAGTCTATGCGGACAATCCCCTGGGAGAAAAGTATCACGCTTGTCATTCGCCAGCTACCAGTCAAAATGCTCGAACGAGTTGTCGGAAATTGGACTCAACGGATGAGACGTAGCCAGGGCCAACATTTGAAGGAGATAATCTTCAAAAAATAAATGCTAAAGAATGTTTTTGCAAGATGATAATAAACATTCTGCATTAAATTTGAAGTTTCTGTGATTTTTCTTCAAACACAAAAAAAAAAAAAATAGGGAACCTCGAAATGGATCAAATAACTGAATAATATATGCCTCTTATTGCGATTTGATACTCAACAGACTAGCCTTTATATAAATTATTCTATTTCTGTCATTAAAAGTGATGTGCTAGTCATTATGAAACCGTGCCACGCTTTAAAAAGTACACTTTTTCAATGGGAACTAATTATTTTACGGCTCTTTAGCCTTGTAGCCTGGAAATGAAATCACAGCATTGTATTTCGAGACACATATCTGCATGAACCTTTGACTCGCGTAATGATTTTGTCGCCTAATATCTTTCTAATATGCATATTTTTGAGCGCGGTAAATGTGTTTTCTTATACGATCAACTTCCGAAATTCGGTATTATTTCCATATTTAACAGACTTGAGCGGCCAAACCGAAGGCGTATATCAAGTTTACGAATGCGCACTGCGAGTCCTTCAATAAATCCTGGGTGATAAACAGGTGTCGTTTGCGTGCGATAAAACGAGATGTGACGGCGCTGAATATAAATATATCAGTTTTGCATCCGGCCGACGATATTAAGGCATGTTTATTGTAATGGAGTCGCTTTCTAATCATTACTTTAGTTGAGCATTACTTATTTGAAGAAAGCCAACGGCTTTAAGCCTTTTGTGCTAAATTCGACTTTAGATGCTTGCGAATATTTCCACAAGAAGGACAATCCCATTGCCAATTTGGTGTTTCCGTTTTTGGTATCCTTCAGTAATTTCAATCACACTTGTACATATGTTGTTAGTATATATGTTTTTCAGTATTATATATGTATTTGGTTCTTATGTATTAGATCTGTTGAATTTGCAGGGTGATCAAATCGTAAAGAACTTTTATCCGAAGAATGAAATAGTTAGACTGATTCATCTGATGGGAGATTACCTTGTGATGTTGTCATGGATTCTAAGCAAAAGGAAGACTTTTGTTACCAATGTATATTTCACTTTTAATGGGTGAAACTTCGATTTGGACACTGGACTATATAATATACTGTATATATTTGTATTATATAACTTCTCCATACTTTTCTATAAGTTGTTTATATGTGTAGCAAGTTCTGTAGAGAAGAGAACGTATTTTTGTATCACAAGGGCTTGTTGTTATTATTATCGAATTATATATATATATTGATTGTGCTCGCGATTATTATTTTGGGATTATGGCAATCTAGTTTTATTTCAGTTCGTTAGTGTACTAGCGTATGATCTTCAAACGAAGAGCAATTATCTTCTTAAATTGGAAAAACGTTAAACATTAAATTCTCTAGGATGGTCTTCAGCAATTAAGCGCTCCATTTGTGGCTTCACACTGAAAAATACATTTTAAAATAGGATCCCACTCGATTATTAGAGTTTAAAAATGAAAACAGTCGGTGTGCATTAAAAACTTTCAATATAACGCCATCTTGATTTCTCTTCGGTTCTTTCCCGTTGATTTCATAACAGATAATAGATACCCTCTGATCATATTACAGATATCGGAATATATATTTAGGGCAGGCATTCTAATCTGAAGCGGAGTTTTCTGTTTGCAAAACAGTAAAAATTCATTGAAAGTCAAATCTGGCGCATACGGTGGCTAAGCGGAGAAAGTCTCAGGCATACTAGAATGTAGTGGCGCATTATCGTCGTGAAAATACCCTGTATTGTCTGCCCACTAAGCTGATTATTTTCAACGAATTGCTTCACTTAGTCGCATCAAAAGCAACAAAACAATCTTTATTGACTGATTGAACCTATGGAATGAATTTATGCTGAACCTCACTGCAGTAATCAAAGAAAATGATGAGAATTACTTTGAGTTTTGATCGACTTTGATTTGGATTTTTCCGTTTCGGCTAATTTTTAGAGCGCCACTCGCAAGAATATTGAACAGTTTCGACATCATATTCATGAACCCAAGTCTCGTTAACAGTAACGATGGTCAGACATCTCTTTTGGGATATCTCTTGGCATCGTTTTTGCATGAGATTCAGGTCTTTTGGTACGAGTCTAACATTGGGACGCTTCATAAATGAAATATAAACCAGAATAATTAATGTCGATCAATGCGAGGTATATGTAGATCATTTGATACTTCTCTTCCCCACGCACCAGTAAATGAAAGACTTTAATGAAATTGTTCTTAACGTATTTTTTATTTATTTCATTTTTCTTCATTTCTTTATTTTTACTTAAATTTCTTGCTAAATTGAGCAATTTTTATATAATTTATTTTCATATGTTGTATTTTTTTATATTAATTTGTATGCCTTCATAATCAATAATATTGGTTTTACGTGTTGTTGTGTTTCAAATTTCGTTACTAATTTATACTTAATATTGGTTATGCCTAAAAATAAAGACTTTTATAATTACATT